AGCAACCGTTTTCAGATGACCCAGACGTATGCATGACCTTTTCAGCGAGGTGGTGAAGAATATGTCAACCACAAACCTCGAGCTCAAACGACTGTGTAGGCCAAATGGGTTTCGAAGGGGCCACTGGTGGGTAGGTACATATGGATCGTATCCCATGCAGAGTCGAGGAAGGAGCTGCCCTTGCTCAGTGTCAACTCTTTCCAAAAAGACTCTGTTGATAGTCGTAGTGCTCTGGTTAGGGCTGCCAGTATTAGAAGTATGGCGGCGATAAGAGTCCTCGAGATGATACAGGTTCGCTCCCTGATGATGGGTCGCTGTTGTACAGGCGTTTGATAGGTGGTTATGGCAGCTGTGAATCAAGCTGCAGTAGACTCCTCAGCCTATGTCAGGAAGTCGGTCGCTGCAGTATGCCTTCCACAGGTAGCCCAAGCAGACTCCTCCTGAGCATCGTTGGCACACTGAACGTTGTGGTTTCCCTTGCAGTCATCGAGAATGATAGAGTGTCTGCATCCTGACAGGTATTCGTGACGGACGTCGATCAGTTTCCGTTGGTTCGGAATCTCCTCATTAAAATGATGGCAACTGATGGGTCCGAGCTGGTGAGTCACCCTCTATCACCACACGCCTGCTAAGGGTGACATCTGCCTCGACGTTAGGTTGTCGGCGCTGCAGCTATGTCGTATTTTGTTGTATGCGTCAAACTGTATGGGAGGGAAGGTGCGAGAGGAAGAACCTCTTTTGGCTGGTGATTCTCTTTCTACGGCTACAGGCGTCTCCACGTCAACGCTTGATATGGTCCAAGACTCGCTGAGCATGCTCCATAGTGTTTACCCACGACTTGTCGAGCTGCTGCCTCTGATGGATCAATTCGGCCAATACTACACCACTGGTGAATCAGCTGTTCCCTCGAGACCATGCTTTCTCGTACCTGCTGTCAGAGCTGCTTCATCGCTACTGCAGACTGCATTTCGAGCGTGAACATGTTCATCAACATTGTCGGCAGTTCCTTGAGGTAGGCATCGCAGCAGACGTGTTGTTCGCTACAGAGGAGATGATGTGGGATACGCTCGTCATCTGTACGCTTTCATTGGATGCCACGGCAATGGCCTTCTGGGAAGCTCTCTTTGGTGGAAACCGAGATCTACACAAACGTGTAGATCTCGCTCCCCACTATATCAGGCGTGGTATAGTTTGGTAGTTAGAGGGGTATATTCTCAGTCATTGTGTAGCCTTCCCCGAGTGGAACTCACAGAGAGGGTGAAGAAAGCCTTGACGGTACCGTTGTACTCCTTTCTTATGTTGTATAGTTTATGCCTCTTGAATCGGTGGTTGAACAGTTTTCGTACCCGTGGATGGGCCCGCGAAACACATCACGTGTCAGATCCTCACCTCAAGGCTGCTCCTATCTACCTCTGTACTAGTCGTTCATCTGGCTTGTTGCGTCATCTGGGACCTAGGTGGCCAAGAATATGGTGAAATTGTGAGCACTAACCTCACAAGTGGGCTCAGCTTGGCATCCGGCTAGATGGCTGCTGTTCTCTACTAATCGTTGCTGAGTTCATACTCATAGTGCACATCGGAACAGGTTCCCTGGTATTAGCGAGTGGCAGTGAGGCAACGGAGACCCTCCTTACAACGATTCTCCATTTAGTGCGAGCCCGAGAGGGCCCTTCTCACTTCAAAGCTCATCTCCGGAAGTTCTTTCTCAAGTGCTCCTTAGTGCATTTGCATTCCTTTGCTTGCATTGGTTCACTGCCGCTCAGATCATATGACAGTCCACTGGTGGCTGAGCT